ATAAAACTTCGTACAAGTAACTAGTTTAATGGGATTGTTTCTCTTTTATAGATCTCTAAGAAGGTCTGCGATGGCATATGTTTATCTTTAAAGAATTGTTTATTAAATCTATTTAATTAATAATAATTATTCAAAACAAAAATGCTTAAATTTATGTTTACTTGAATAAAAATATTTCTTTCTTTCTTTCTTTCAACTTACTCCTATAAAAGGGCGTAGTCGTAGTACATTGTACAACACGTATATTCCGCGTGCGGAACTCTAAAACCTGTAATTCAACTAACAACCGCTCGAATATAGCTAGCTAGTTATTAATTATTGTTACTAACACGGCTAATTCCATCTAGTTTATTATTTATAATCTGTTTTTACGATTTTCACTAGCATAATAAAGACGTTACAGACATTTATCAAGTAATTATGTATATAAAAATCTGTGTTCCCATCCCTGTGTACGTATATTTGTGTAGATCGCTAGTTCCGCTACATAATTTCCAAGTTGTTATAAATAATAAGCTATTCTGAAACGACTGTTACTTACTCTAATAAATTAGACAATTTTACATATTTAATTATCATCTTTTATCTAATTATTTTGTTCCACAATATTTGTGGGAACCCAAATTTAAACTTAATAAAATTAGTAAATACTTATGAAATTACAAAACACTAACGATCTGGCCCGGCTTCGCATGGGTAGATAGAATTTCGAAAATAATATATTTGTTACTCGCCGATAATGAAGCTATTTTTAAAATCAATTAAATTGTTTTGAATTTATCCATTACAAACAAACAATAAAATCTTACTTTTTTATAATATTAATTTAGATGACAGTGAAACTTTTGTGTTAATAAAACGATTATCATTATTTAGGGGTACAGTTCTTGTTCAATTGTACTCAAAAATCTAGTTAAATTATTTTTTAAGAATATTTTTTATTCAAGTAAATTTAGTTACAAGCGGAATAATAATTATTATTATTCCACCTTCTATTATAAATTGCAATATAGAGTTTAGAAAACAGTCCCTTATTGAAAACTTTTTTACACAAAAAAATCACAAGTGGCAAAAAAAATATGAAACCAACGAGAAGTAAATCCTATCAACTTCAAAAAGTATAATAAAAATCTGTTCTATGTAAAAAAATCGTATAAATTAATAATAAAAATAGTACATAAAAAAATTAAGTTGATTCGAAATTTTCCTTCTTCTTAAGTTACTTAAAAGGATTTATGTATATATCTGAATTTGTGTTTCGGTTTGAAGAGTGGGATATGGCGTGAATTTACTGGGTACGGAGGAATAACACCTGAGTCCTCAGGAATGGCAACGTATGGGGGGTATCATGGGCGAAACAGTATACTCTGTTATGTCCATGGCTGCTCATGTCTATAGGCGACGGTTACCACTTTCTATCAGGTGGGCCGTCAGCTTGTTTGCCATTCTAAGTGGTATGAAAAAAAAATTGTACAACATCGAATAGTCGGATCAAATCGATACAAAGTTTACGGCATTAGGACTACTATTACTACCATTATACTAAACCAAAAATGTTGATACCACTTAGTGATGTTAGTATTATGGTGATGAAAATATCAACGATGTTATTGTTACATAAGTATTTAAGCCTATAATATCATAATCAAGGTACTAGCATGTCGAATGTTGATTGAACATCCAATTAGCAGAATGAAGTAATGATCTATTTCCTGTATATGCACATACATTGGTTATTATTACGAAAATAAAACGTTTAGAAACTAGGTCGCGCAATAGGCCACACCCGAACACGTATTAACGGTAGGTACAGTCGGAATATTAGTGCTTATCAATAATTTTAAATGTTTTAGATTCTCCTAGAAATCTAAATCTCCTCATAATTTTTCTCTCTTCTTCAAAATATTGTCAAAAAGAACTAGAAAATATCCTATTTTATAGTCATACAATTATTATGACGAATCTAAAATAAAATATACTCACGACTGTAACATATATGCAATCATCAAAAACATTTGTCAACATGTAATATTAAGTATTATTAATTTTTCAAATTTTACCCACATTTCGTCGAACATATTTGAATCCAATATAGCTCTTGCCAGGTCGTTGATCCGAATTGGCATCTACTTTAATACATTCTTTATTGTAAACAATACAAATTTAAAATAGATTAAAGTTAATTATGATACAAACGAAGCTGACGAACTTATCACTTACCCACTTAACAGTTAAATGGTTTAAAAAATTAAATTTCATTACGCATCTTTGAACACGGAGTAGTAGCAATAAAAAGACGTGTAAATGGCAAAAAATATTGTTATCCTGACCTTTAGCGGCTATATCATTATATGGACAAATATAATCAAACTACAAATTAAAAAACGCTATTACAAAACCAAAGTCAATGAAAACAAATAAACTCGAATTGAATTTAAATGTGATGGACGTCGATATATGAAATAAGTATTTGGATAATTTGAAATTACAGAAAAAAAGAAACACGCATAATTTTACAAGTTTTAATTTAATAGAATTTTGCTCTTTTCAAATAAAATATGTAATAAATTACGCTGTAATTAACACAAAATTATAAAAACTGTACCTAAATTTAACTAAATTACTTGAGTTCTGTTATTGTGTACATATACACTAAATAATGAAATTAATAATCATCATGATTGTGGGCGAAAGGACTGTATGCTGGTATGGAAACACGGTGTTTTAGAAAAATAATATAATTATATAAAAAATATACAAAGCAAACCAACGGAGTAAAAAAGCGAACCAAACAAAAACTAAACTGATACACACTTCAAATTATAAACATCCTTTAAATAAAATTAAAAAAGATACTAAAAAGGTGCGTCGTGCACAATGATAAATTATTTTAAATTCTAAGAGAATATTTTTTATTTTAAAAATATACAATTTAACAACGTCATCAACTGTTTTAATAAAAGTATAGAAATCCATACTTAATATTATAATATTAATAAGCTTAACATCACTATTAAATTTGACTTTATATCTCGGTCAGTGAACATATGCCAGTCACGTGAACGAAGTCGCGGGTAAAATCAAATTCAGATAAAAACGGCACTTATTTTTAGTTCTCTCATACTTAACAACTGGATGCACTTAAATAAAATAAGAAGCCCATTATTCAATTTTTAAAATTTATGGGCCAATATTTATTTAGGCAAAATGTAAAATTTCGCTTAACGCTCTTTTCAAAAGCATACTTAATGATTTCGGTTTCAATATGTACATACCATATAAACATTGATACACACCAACATAATCTTGTAATCACTAGTATTTTAGTATCGAGTGCTTACAACTCATTATATCGTGTTACTGTTTCCATTTTTTGTTGACCGTACGCACGGTACACCGCACGCTACACACCTAATGATCCAGTAATCAACTTTTTGCATCAGCTGCAACTAATTAGTGACTGCACTGATACATTTGAAATTATTTCATTGTTTCCATCGGTAATATGAAGTTTCTTGTCATTTTTTTTTGTAGATCGTACGTTTTTAGATCGTTAATCAATTTTATAGGTTACAATGCTGGGAGGAAATCCCGTAGTTACGCCCGCAGTACTAAATGCTTCCAAATTAGCGGTCATTTCTAAAATACTAGCCTCGACTGATACTTAGGTCATACTATTACGGAACTCCTACGATGTAGCAGGGAGGGGATTGTTAACAACGGGAACAAGTGGCCTCGTGAACCGTCAGGTTTAGGCCTTCAAGTCAAAGCAGTTTAAAATGGAAACCATTGTAATTAATCCCTGATAAGTTCGTCACGAATGGCGAACCACATCCTAGTGTAACATCCCCCACTACTTCTCGTCCTTTAAATATTTTTTAATGTCATTATTTTTAAAGACATGATATGCAAATTTCCAAAGTTTTAGTATTTATAATATCAAGTGTCAATGAAAACGGAAAAAGGTTAAAAAAGTAAAGCTGACGATTTACAGCTGTTTTTTCCATTTAAAAATATTACCTAATCCACCGAACACATATCATATATACTTCGTTTAACTTACCTAATTTGTCTATTCATTCCAATATGTTTTGCCTAAGTGGCATGAGTATTTAAATATTGAATCATGCTTTCAGTGTCAATTGGCGGAAGTATTGTGTGAGCTTAACATGGCTATTTGGCAATTACGAACATTATTAGCTCTCTTATAAGTTAGTAATATGAATTAATTATTTATTTAAAATCTAAATTAATTAAAAAAATAATAATAAAAACTTATATTTATACATATTACAGACTTTCATCTAATTTTAAACTAAGCAAATCTGATAGCTGTGGGTAGTAGACATCTGATAGAAATAGATATATAAAACGTTTTTTTTTTTATTATAATTATAAACATATTCTATATAGACAATACTTAGACAAATACAAACAAGTAATTACACTCATGAATACAAATGTTTGTATTATGAGGGAATATAATCCGCCACCATTACACCACCAAAGACGTTATTCAAAAATAAAGATGTTTAAATTTGTACCGAGCTACTGTAGAAACAATATCACAAAAAAACACTATGTGCTGAACTCGTACTACATTAATCCTTAAAACTTGGATTTCATTTCACGACTTTTAGTTTTCATCATACCATACCATACCATATCAGCCATTAACTGTCCGCTACTGAACATAGGCCTCCCTCTATTGAGGGATTTTAACAGTAACTGCTTCGCTTGTGAGCCGGTTTGGCAACCGCAGTTAGGTTTTGGTGTTGTTTTAAGATTGACACTACTGCCCATACCTCGACCATTAAATTCCCTTAGTCACTTACCAGCATAGGTAAGGATGGCCCATTCTATGGCGTGTTCACATGTCTAAAGTTTCATCGTATTTGAAATAACCTCAGAATTAGGATATTTATTGTGGCTTTTGTAAAATCTTGCCCATGTTAGTCAAAAGTTGTTGGGGCTTAAACGTCGAAAAGCTACTTGCTAACCTGCGTTTCTGTAAGACTTAATGCCTGTGCTAGCTGTTTTCTCTCCGCGCCGACCACGTAATGATTTTTCTCGAAGGCGTGCTCCAATTTGAGGAGTTGTGAAGGAGAGAAGGCTGTTCTGATCCTCTTCGGCTTTCTAAACGGTTGCAAGAGGAATCCCGGTATGTCTGGACCTTAAACAAGAAATATTGAAGGCAAATTAGATAACGGATTCGTCGAAGTCGGATTTATAGCTGGTAACCCACCTGATGGAAAGTGGTAACAGTCATCTATAGACAATTAGCTTTTACTCGCGGCTTCTACATATATGTAAACTATATATATGTTACATATATGTAAACTAAATTTCACAGAGATTATTATTATTACATCAGTTATTAACTGTCCACTGCTGAACATAAGCTTTTTCTAAAAGGGAAGTTTTGCCAGTACTTGCCACGCTTGGCAGGCGGGTTGGTAACCGCAGTTAGGCTTTTAGAGATGTTTTAAGAGGGACGCTGCTGCCCATTCCTCGCCCTCCCTTAGTCGACTCTTACGACACGAAAGGAAGAAGAAGGAGGAAAGGAAAAGGTGGCCTATTCTATGCCAAGACCACACGGCAAAATGATTAGTTACTTCGTTAATGGGTTAAAAAGTAACAAATAATCATACATTTTTTATATTAGTAAGGAAGTAGTAGTTAGTAGCATTAACGATACCTATTGGACGTCAAAGACTAATAAGGCGTTAGTAGTATTTTTTGTGCATTATTACTCCTAAAGAACAAAATACTCTTATTATAAATTAAAACTCATATATCAATGATTACTAGAATTCTTCAAACAGAATGACACTTTACTGGTTCAGGACCAAAATAGATGATGCTGTGGTACTTAATCAGGCGAGTTACACAATTCTAGCACCGTTTTCCATCGTCAGTGAGGAAAGATGCATATTTTAATTCACCGACAAGCTTGTATGAAACTAATAAATGCAGAGAAAGCGTAAAGGTCTGTTTGAATTGGAACATCGGAATTCAATTGTTTCTGTTTATCCCAATTGGAGACAGATGTGACGTTTGATGTATACATATAAATTATGGATAGTGCTTGCATGCATACTTATAAGTTATAACTATATCAAAATTTATATAAATTCGTCCACAAGCCTATAATCGAATTTATGGACAGTAAATTTAAGAAATGGTCAACTAATTGAATAAATTCTGACACGTTTATGTTTCCTCATTTAATAAGTATGCATATTACCCGATAAGCACTGATGGGTGAATCTTGAAATTAATAACATTTTTAACCTACATACCTATATCAAGGTTTTGAAATATTATTACTTTTTAATTTTTTTTTTTCTTGTTCTACTGCAAAGGCCAAACAAGATGATTAAGTATAATATATTAATAATTTCGCACAAAAATGGAAAAAAAATTATGAACAGTTAAACAATTGGATTTAATTAACGTCATTTAAGGAAAGCTTTAACGACATAAATGAGATACATATCTTTGATTTTTTATTTACATGATTTTCCTTAAACAATTATCGACGTAGTTTGTTTAAACACCTGTATTAATAAAGCCATTTATGTAAAAAATAATTATATAAGACAACCTTCACTACCGTACTACTGAAGTGACATAATTGAAAGATGTCTGTTTCATTTTGAGGAATAAATAAATGAGAGACTTTATCATTGTAATCTATTTAATGCCCTTTTATATAGATTTACAAGACTTTGTTGCCGTAAAAACAGTAGTGTTTAATTTTATTTTTATAATTATTATTAATTTTATTTTTATAATTTTGTAATTATTTCAAATGAATTACTATTATACAAGATGATATATTATACAAGAAAGATGTTACCATTCGAATACTGAAAATAGAATCCTTGTAAACATACAAAGACAAAGGCAAATATATATATGATGAGCCATATTTTTTGACAAAAGTTAAATTTCAGTAATACTACTGCTGATGTAACTACCCGTTCACATCACATCCTTACTATAAATATGATAATAAGTTTGTTTGTTTATTATACAAGTATATAAGTACTATTTGGAATGGAAAAGGACATAGGCTACTTTTTATCTCAGACAATCAATGTATCACGCGAAGTCGCGGCATCCACCTACCTATTTAAAAACTTAATCGCATTATAAATAATTTAAATACTTGGTAAAAACATACACACCAACTGTATTGCTAAATTTCAAAGCGCCAATTAGCATTTGCTTAGATATTTGACCTATCCATAGTCAGGCACAGATTTATTCGCATGTCAATTTGATAACCTCTGTATTACATTTGATTTATTGTTCGCAAAGAACTTGGCCATTTTTATTTTACGATAAATAGATAATTACACTAACATTTATCTATAACATACAATGTTAACAGTGTATATTTTTCATAACTACTGATTGTTGTTTCATCATTACTAATTTTGAGTATTTAATAGTTTACAAAGAAATTTAATAGTTTACAAAAAAAATTAAATAATATTCTTAAGATTTTGTTGAAAATCCAAGCTTTAATCACTTTAAATTTTATAATATTCTAAATTACCTCATAATCACTCCAATCAATTACAAAATTAATCAGACATACTAACATAGTATATAAAATCATAAATAAATAATTATTGACATTTAATAAAGTGAATAACATAAATAAAATATATTGATTCTGTAGTCTTATATAAATATATACTCTACTGTGTAAAATCATTTGCAGTCTATACTTAATGCAACAATGTGTTCGTATGTCTATTGCGATTTAGTACATAAACTGCTGTACCAATTTGGTTACAATTTGGTATGAAGATAGCACGTGACCTAGTGATATAAGCATAACTGACATTATAAAAAATTATGACTATCATCTAGTCAAAATGTCCTCACACAACATAAAAACAAAAATAGAAAAACCAAAATTCCGCACGCACTATCCTTGAACCTACGTACCGACTATTAAAATTAAATTAAACAAAGATTATACCACTAAACGATCGCACCGGCCTAAGAGGGTAATCTATCAACCACTTATGTTGTTTCACGTACGTTTACCATGAATTATGAAGTAATGAAAGACCACAAATTATATACAGCTATTTCGTTTTAAATTGTTGCTTGCCTAGTACAAGTTGAGTGACGTTTATGAAACGTACTATTATTTTATGGGTCATTAATATTAGTAAATGTTACTTAGATAATTATAGGATTCAATTCTTTGGGTTGATTCGGGGAAACCATATTATACTAGGCCATACCGTCTACTTTGTCCGCATTAATATTTACTACAAGCCTATCCCTGCTATCTTGATCCTATATCTATTCTATCCCTTGGTTACAAAATATTTTCTCTATCAATTTTTATCCAACTTAATTCAATAGTTTATGTATAAAAAAATCCAATAAATAGATAGACTCGCTTTTGCATTTATATACATGAAACCATTGGTCGAGATGAGACTTAATATTAAGATACCAAAAATCCTAACGTTAAATTGTTAATGCGTTATTAGAAAAAAAACATTCTCTTAGTAACAGTATTACAATAATTATAATTATCTTGTCTCTAATTAAATGCTTTTTTATCAATATATGCTATATATATGTTAAACGGGCTTAAACAGCTTAAAATGTTTTAATATACCTATAAAAATAGATAATACATATTGATAATAACAGTAGACAATAAGTATGTGTAATTGTCGAGTTTATTATCGCACTATAAAAAATACAGCTCCTAAAATTAGCACAATTCTAATTAAGTGACAAATAATGTAATAAAAACGAATCCCAAATTCCACAAACCGTCAACGAACACTAGTATCGTTATACTTATAGATCACTAACAATTATTCCTTATTGATATATATTTAATTAAAAAACATTAGCATTTATTATTTATATATAAAAAAATTATATCTTTAATCTTATATACCTGTATTATATTCTTATATGCCTTCGTTGCACCTCAAATTCTTAACAATATTAAGAATTATAAATATATACCTATATAATAAAAAGTACCTATATATAACTCGATTCTGGATTCCGCATCTCTTTGTGAAAGGTGTTTCTTTAGCCTATTCCCAATTGAATTCTCAAATGCAGGTTACACATTAAAATATTTTTAAATAATTCTATTATTTCAAAATATTTTAAATTTAAAAGTGATTTTTTTATTAGTTCAACCAATTGTCATAAAAAATAGTACAAACTTGATATGTGTGATGGAAAAGGACATAGAGTACTTTTATCCCAAGCAGGCATTGTAACCGCACTGCATAAAAAAAATTTCCTGCTTATAAATTTTATTTTATTAATTTTTATTTATTGGTATTTTAGTTATTACTAATAGGAACTATTCGAATAATAAATATCACTCATTCTTTTAATTACTACAAATATAACTAGTTCACTTTTTCATACTTTCTTAATAAGCTGTTACGGAAATTGCAATGGATTAAAACGTGGGTGGTAGCGCTCGCTATAGATATACTGGTTCTGTGCGCAGCGGCCTTGTACCGACGTACTAATATACTAATGACATTATAATTGCACGACGAAGCAATGTTATACCTTTGAGCAATATAAATGAAGGATTTGTCAATTAGATTATTAATATTTAATTTAATCTACCAAATATTGCTGGTACCTTTAAAGCATATTGATAAAGTTTGTTAACGACTCATAACAACGCCAAATAAATGCTAGTAGTGTGATGTCAATTTATGAGTTCTTTTTATTACAAAAATATCAGATAAGCAATAACAAATTTTGATTGATATTACTATGGTATTAGTTATTTATTATTCGCATCAATATAATCTGTATTACTTCTTTAAACTTATGGTGATAAGAATAAGTCATTACTTTTATAACATTGTTTTCTAAACAGAGCCGATACAGAATATACTCCACGTAGAAGTAAAAAAAAATTCACTTTTGGGCAATTTTTAAATTATTTTTTGACATGCAGAAATGAAGATTTTCCTAAAAAAATTAATATGGATTATTTATTTCATTTCATAAAAATAAGAATTAATTTAGAAATCGATTTGAAGATAATAGAACCCGAAAGTCAAAGACCCAAACCAGTAAATGCTCTATAAAAATAGCAAAAAACAATTGCAAAAATATAATTATGGAAAAAATACGTGAACA